TTTTTTTTTTTTTTTTTTTTTTTTTTTTTTTTAAAAAAAGCTTCACAGTAAATTCTAATAATCTGGGTATTACAACGGTACTGAAATATTTAAATACATCAGATTTTCCCCATTTACAGTTTTATTTAAAGAGACAGAAAGAAATGTTATATTTAGGTCAATGGATATATAGATATACCTTGGAAACCTCGGAACCATAGTTACAGGCCAGCACTCCGTGATATAACTGCTTTGCATCAGAAGGGCTGTTTATCATATTGTAATTTCCAAGATCAGAGAGCAGTTATTTTTTTATGTATTTATTTGACTCTTATTATCAATACTATCATTATGGAACAAATTACGTCAAGCATGAAATGCAGACATTAGGAGACCTGTTTAGTTGAAGTTCTGAAAGCATCCAGCAGATGTCGCATTTCTAAACTGTTCCAAATATATCAAGCCTGGGGAGTTTTGGCTAATTGTGTCAAATTGGTTCATTGATTCAGGGGCTTCGGACTGGCCATCACTAGCTTAAACCAGCACAAGGCCTGTCTTAAGTTTGCCAATGACCATTTGGATGATCCCGAGGAGTCATGGGAGAAATTCATGTGGTCAGAGACCAAAATAGAACTATTTGGTCATAATTCCACTAACCGTGTTTGGAGGAAGAAGAATGATGAGTACCATCCCAAGAACACCATCCCTACTGTGAAGCATGATTTAAAGGTCAGTAAGATACATTTAATTAATTAGAGTCTGCTCTGAATGAAGGACTTAAAACAGTTAATCAAAGTCAAAAAGCATTTAGAAAACTGTAAGAAAGGATCTTTTAAAGGAATATCCTGTTAATAACGAGTTACTCTGGGAGGCGGACAGCTGTGATGATCAGAGGGTCTCTGTTTGTACCATCGTTATTGTGACCCGGACCGAAGAACGGATGGAGTCTCTCTGTGAAGAAGCAGCCATTGAAGGGGTAGATGAGAGCAGCAGCATCTACATCATAAAAGAAGACCAGACCCTCCTCGTAATCCACAAACACCCCCACCTTTTCAGGACGAGACTGAAGAGAGAAANCAGAACTCTGGCTGCAGCATTTTGGATCAGCTGAAGGCTTTTAACTACAGTTTGTGGACTTCCTGATAGTAAAGAATTACAATAGTCTTTAAGTAACAAATACATGGACTAGTTTCTCAGCATCACCCCTGGACAAGATATTTCTCATTTTTGCAATATTCCTCAGATGAAATAAGGAAATTCTAGAAACCTCTTTGATATGGGATTTAAATGACAGGTCCTGATCAAAAACAAAACCAAGATATTTTACTTTATTATCTGAAATCAGTTTAATCCCATCCAAATGATGTGACTGACTAATTGTCATAATGGTCTGTCCAAACCAGTACTGGATGCTCAGCCCCCTCGAGCCAGTGTCTCCATTCCTCCAGGGCGAGCTTAATGGCCAGAAGTTCTCGGTCTCCAACTTCATAATTTTGCTCGGCTGGAGAGAGTCTGCGTGAATAGAAAGCACAAGGATGAGTTTTATGATCAGAATCAGACTTCTGAGACAACAGAACTCCAACACCAGAATCAGATGCATCAACCTCGAGGATGAACTGCTTCGTTGGATCTGGCTGAACCAAAATGGGAGCGCTGGAAAAGAGTTTCTTTAATTTATTAAAGGCCTCTTCGGCTTCAGGAGTCCTTTTAAAAGTTCTCTTAACAGAAGTAAGAGCTGTGAGAGGTAGGGCTGTCTGGCTATAATTCTTGATGAACCTCCTGTAGAAGTTTGCAAAACCGAGGAATCTCTGAAGTTGCTTGTGGTTTTCAGGTGTAGGCCATTCCAGAACTGCCTTTATCTTGTCCTCTGATGGCTTCACCTTCCCACCCTCGAGCACAAACCCTAGGAAAGTGACAGATCTTTGATGAAATTCACATTTTTCGGCTTTCACAAAAAGCTTATTCTCCAGCAGTCTCTGAAGGACAAAACGAACATGTTTTTTGTGGTCAGAGAGGTTCTTGGAGTAAATCAAAATGTCATCGAAACAAAAATGTTCAAAAAGTCTCTGAGGACTTCATTAACCAGAGCTTGGAAACAGGCAGGAGCGTTAGTGAGACCAAAGGGCATGACCAGATACTCGAATTGCCCTAAGGGGGTCTTAAAGGCTGTTTTCCACTCATCCCCTTCCCTTATTCTGAGGAGGTGGTAGGCGTTTCTCAGATCGAGTTTGGTAAACACTGTAGCACCTTGTACAGGTTCAAAAGCAGAGGCCAGTAATGGTAAAGGA